CCTCCATGGCATAATACGACCAGCCATCATTGGTGTCGTTGGATTTCAAGCTTGATTTGTCGATCGTCGGGAGCCGGAATAAAACCACTTTCTTGTTTGTGGTCAGACGGACTACGTATCGCGCCTGCGTGAAGTCTGAGAGTTTCCCGCAGTTGATCCACATCTTGATTTGGGCAAGCGTCGCTTGAGGGATGTTTGGCGTAATTGGATGGGGTTTGTTTGAGGCTTTTCGCCTCGATTGATTTTAACGATCACGTGATGGGTATTATGGTCCCACTTTTTGATGTGGTCCTTTCTTTATATAGGGGCTTATAACTATAGGGGGCCACTTATATAGGAGGTTTATGGTTTCAATCTTTAGCCCGACCTTAATCGTTATCTCTATGATTGTTGCACATTCAATAACATGTGACAACGAATCTCTAGGCCGCCTCTTGGTATACTATTGACGGCCAAATTTTCGCCTAACGCAGGCTTCCGGCCGGGGCCACTCTGTCCATCCTTGAAAGGGGAAAGTGACCTGTTCAATCCTTCCTATTTTTACTCGTATTTTCATAGTTCGAATTTTGAAAGAAAGTTGAAAAATACATGGTCCAACAATGACACGCAATAATCTCAGTCCTAGGAATTATTCTTTTGTAAATTATAGTGTAAAATATGTAATTAATATGTCATGGATACGATAACGGCAACTACTGGTACATATAAGGTATGTGTACTCCGTACGGAGTAAACAATTTGAAAGGCTGCTACCGTCAACCTTCAGAATACTAGCTAATGGATCCAGGTGGATAAATTCAATTGGAAGATATAGATCAAACATTGAAGAATAATAGGATGGAAAATAGTCAAACACCATCAATAATACAGATGTAAAAATATGGAGAGAAATACCATGTCCGTACATAAGGGCATTATGAAAACTCTGCACAGGTGTTGAAACCCAAATCATCAGTTAAATTTGTATAACTATCGTAAAAGTTGGAGTATATTTATGTCCTTTGTGACATCATTTGTTGAGACTGCCCTCAATTTTGCTGGTTTCCTTTCCTTTCCAGTCTAATAGTTTTCAAATTATATTAATATAAATCAAACATATAGCTAGGGACGGGTTACTTGGAATACTAATGCCTATGCAGGTAAGACTAATCTACCAACGAATAGATAGCGGTGAAAGCGCTGTTGGATATGCACGTAGACTCCCAAGGTCGGGCGCATGTCGGCGAGTAATTGAGTCTTGATATGCAACACGGGAAAATAGAAGCTGTCACTCACGGCGTTTATAGGAATTTCTCTAGAGGTCGAAGAACCCTTACAAACGACTAGGCTAAAGTGTGACTGAGGACTGCAGCGGACTTCAGACGCCTGGTTCTCCAATAAACTGTGGGCCTCGCTTGTTGGTCTCAATTAATAGTGTTCGCAAGTTTCCCCTCATCGATTAGGAGAACTAGTTGGTTTCCTATAAGATCAAAGCTTAGAACCTTGGAAGCCATCATACATTTACATTAATTCACTTGAAGTGCCCAGCCCTGGAGGTGACTCAATTAGCTTACGTTAATAGTGTGAAGTGTTGAAAATTACGTGGTTTCAGTATTGGTATTTATCACCTCTGTGACAACTGCCCTTAACCACGATTTATCCAAACACACCTGAGCACATTTTGCGACAGGGGGTTTCGAAAACGTCTAGGAAATAATTCTAGTGTTTGCTCATTTATCACGCTCGTCTCTCGTCTTTCATCTTCCAATATTCCAAACTTTTCACTTTTCAGTTTGCGTTTCCATACCCAGAAGCCTGCACAAGTGACATTTTTTACACTGCTTTATGTGAGACTAGCTAGCCAATTCTAACGCTTAGCTAAAGACTAATGTTACCAACAGCACAGCCACCTGAAAATGGATGGTGATCCCAACCATGCCATCAAATGGTGGACGTATCGAGAGGGCGTCCGGTCCCAGCTGCCAAAATTTGAGTCCCTGCCACAGGATGGTCTCATGTTAATGCAGTCCTATCAGGCTGTCCTTGACAACGACGAAACTTTCACCCAATATTTCTCAGATGAGCCACTTGAAAGTTACACGGTCGAGACGCGGCTGAGGCAAACATTGGGCATTCGTGCTCCGTCTTCGTCGGACTCTGGGCCGTCTAGAAGTGAGAACGATGCGTCTATTAGCTGGGTCAACATTTTCCGTCACGGCAGTTTCGAAAGGCAAAGTGACGGCTCGTACTACTGTTACGATCAAGGCAACCTCGTTCAGATTGATGAGTCTCTTCACAAAAGCATCCTTCTCAACCGATGCTTCCTCCCGGCAAACTCCTACCTATGGCCAAGTCCCACTGATGCCGAGAGGGAGTCCAAAATCACTTTGGCCATCGAGGCAGATGTCTTGGAAGAAATTGACCAAAAAATCAAATGTACGTACTTCCCAGTTTCTTTCTTTCTTTTTTTTTTTTTTTACTCGCGTAGGTCATGAGAGACATACTAATGGGAACAGACGTGGAAAAACTGAAGCGTCTTCAGCTGGCACTGAAGAAACGCCGAGCTAAGCTTCAAGGTATTCGGAACCCCGTGAAAAGGTTCCGTACGCTGCAAACCCCCGGTGCACAGTACCCTACCCTGAACGAGCCACGTCGTCTCACGATCTCTGTCGAGGCACACGATAACCGTGCACGCAGTTCATCCGAAAGCTCGGGGGTCTCAAGTGGATCCGACATCCCTTTCACCGTCCCTATCTCAAAAGAGGTATCTCTTGACAGTGACAGTGATGATCATGATGCTGTGTTTGACAACTCACGCCAACAAAAGCGTTCAAATCCCACCAATCTCGTCGCCGACAGCAACAAGAAGCCATTTGATAACGAAATGGGAGTGTCGGTCTCTGGACTTCTCAGCAACAGAAAGTCCGAGGTTGCACAAAGCCGGGATGGTACACAACAGTTTAAACAATTTCAAGAAGACGGGTCAGCGAAACACCAGCTCCATGGCAGCTCGGACTTGATGCGACCGCCTCCGAAAAAGCAAAAGATTGAGGCTGCCCCGTCCCCAACAAATATCGAAACCAACGACCTTGGGAAGGAACTGCCAATGTGGAAAGAAAAGGTCGACACACCCATCAAACCGGAGCCCTCATCTTCCACCGCAGGAACACGACGCAAAGGACAAAAGCGAACACGGAATAACTTCACCGACTACGAGAAGCAGCACGCCCCAGCTTGGTTCAAGAAGCAGTTAGATGCAGGAACGCCCCCGGCTGATGTTGAGAAGGCTTATCATAAGAAGTTCGGTGTTTTCCACCGCTGGCTCACACTGAAGCTTTGGGTCGACCGGTTGGATGAAAGGGCAGCTAAAGCTAAACCCCCAAGCAAAATCGTGGTATTGAGAGTACAGCTCCCGTTGCATCTTCATTTGGCCTTCTTGAATGACAATCCCTCCTAGCCAATTCGGGCGTTCCCAACGAGCCGGAAAATACCACCAGCCGTCATCCCAAAACCTACTTATGCCGCCGCCCCGCCCTATTTATCCCCATACCCTCTATTCCGGTCCCCGGGGCAACCTCAGGGCCCATCGGTCATGTACGAGCTTGACTGGCCATCCAAAACGGCTGGATCATCGCGCATCAAGAGTGGCCTTCCGAACGTTTACTGATGATACATGGGCCTGGTTGTCAGTTGTTGCGGGTCGTTCAACTAATAACTTTCGAACAAGTTTCCAGAGCCCAATAAGTTTGCTGGCAGTATGTTTTATTATTTGATAATACCCCGGACATTTGACTAATCCAAGTTCCTAGTGAATTTTTATTTAGCAGGGAGTTTCTTGTCTATGGTCTATGGGATTCTTCGTGCAACTGGTCAAAACTTAGCTTCATATCATGCACATGTACAGCTAATATTATTTCATCTGGCTCTTACCTTGTAATAATAATACCATTCCTACTATTTAAGGGCACTCGCTGTTTGTGTACTCCTTTTGTCATTACTTGACAAGTAGAAAAATCCCACCCAACATGGACGATCTAACAACTAGCCGTCAAATGGATATTGACTATACGTAAGTTGTATCATCGAAACATTATTGTGAAATGCAAGCCTACAAATGTATAGTAGCAACTTTTGAACGCTTCTATGACGATTTAATATCCCAATTCATTTCGACGTCCCATGTTATCGCTCGCCCAGGAAATTGTGTTAATCCAGTGAGGGACGAGAGGTCTAATACCGAGTTAGTTGCGTGTTCTAATACTGAGTTCGTATCCGCACTCAACAAATTCTTCCATGGTCCTCCTTTTTGCTTGATCCTCCCTGATTCCATTGAGAGCTCTATCAAACCTCGGACGAACAAGAGACCGTACAGGCGCCGTGTTCAATCTTCCAAGCGTTTATACACCATAGTAACTTGTATGGGTGTACTTTCTGAAGCAACAACCCCAGATCGGTTCGAGCGCCAGAAAAATGGCATGTACTGGTGTCGTGTTAAGGGGAGTGTGTCATACTCAGATGAAAGAAATCTCACGCAAACCTCAGATGAGGCTCGCGAATTTCACGCGGAGGCATCACGCCTTCAGACCGATCGGGCAGATTCTGGTTTGCCTCAGAACAGTCAAGGCTTCATGGCCTGGGCGTCTGTTTTGGTTAATCAACCCCACATGGATGATGGCAGGGCAGGAAGCGCGGGTGTCCAAGAACAGTCCCAGTCCGAAACAAGTACTTCTGGAAACAAGATAAATGTCCAATTACTCCGCCTAATACATAATATAAAACTGCTACTCTGTACCTACAGTAAGATTCATAATCACAATGGAAGTGTACTCCAAAAACGATGATGCAGTCGTATTGACAAAATTAAGTTGTAAGTACATAAGGTATGAGCTCGTCATCGAGGCTCAATAATTCGTTAAAGACATGGGAACTAAAAGGTCATTTCATAGCGAACGTATGCGGCAAATAGAAAAAGGACCCTCGAATCTACTGTAGATGCTTTAGGAATGTCAAATATTCCATTCTTACAGGGCGAGAGCAAGACCCAGAACACCAGCGGCACCAGCAAGGCTCATGGCGATACCAGTAGGGGCAGCACCACCATCAGCAGTGGTGGATGCAGCAGATCCAGACGCTGATACCGAAGCCGAGGACGAAGCAGCGTCCGAGCCAGTGGCAGTGGAGGAAGATGATGAATCCGTAGCAGAAGTAGAATCGGTAGAGGATGAAGCGTCAGAAGACGATGCACCAGAGGACGACGCGCCCGAGGATGACGTGCCAGAGCTAGAAGCGCCAGAGCTAGAAGCACCGGTGGAGGTCGCGGTGGCAGTGCTGGGGCTAGAGCTGCTGCCGCCAGAGCTGGTGATCTCGGCGGAGATGGACGATGCGAAGGAAGGATAGTAGCCCTCGACGGCAGTGGTGACATACTCCTTCACGCTGTCCGGAAGGCTGCTGTACCAGGTGGGCCAGGAGTTAGAGACGATGCCTTGCTCGACTTGGGAAAGGAAAGCGGCGGTGTTGGTGGCTTCGGCCCAGAATGAGGTTGGGACGGCGGTTGCGAGAACCACGGCAATAGAAGGGGGGATGATATCCGAAAGGTTCTCTTCTACAGATCCACTGGTGTCGGCCGGGGCGGCGATGGCCATGCTGGCGAAGAGGAGAGCTGCGAAAGACTTGTACTGCATGGTGGCGGTTGGAGGAAGTATATACTTCGGGGATAAGACGAAGAAGATAAAACGGGTATGAAGAGAAGGTGTTTGTAGATTAACTGTGTAACTGCAAGAACGAAAGAGAAAAACAACCAGTGTCTGGGGGCTTTATGCTTAAATACGTCCAGTATGTTGTCATAAGCCCTGGAAGCTATCGTGAGGCTAGGGCTCTAGCGGCCTTTGCCCGAATGAGCCCATCGCGCTATGTTCCCAGGTTCCACCACCAACGGCCAATGGGGGCCTCGTCGCCCCCAAAAGGTGCCGATCAAGTGGGAGAAGGCGCACCTAGGAGCTTTCATCGCGCAATCCTTCGCCCTACAATATCGAGGGTTGGGGGGTTTAGGTCCACACCCTACTACGAAATTACCCGTCACAGTACAATCTAGGACGAGGCTGCCAGAGGCTAAGCGATATCCCCCTTTTCTTCTTCTCTCAAAACTCATACAAGTTGTGATGTTCCGTTGGGACTTGACGCTGCAGTCATAGTTGAAGGTTCGGCGTTCTATCCAGTTGCCAAGCCCAAGACTTCATTACGCAGGCCTTCTTTGCACGCCCATTCATCATTGGGGTTGGAGGCTCTCGAATATTTATATGACGTCATTTTCTGGGGGCGAGAAAAATTTACTTGGAAATATTCGTTGCTGCCTTTGTTTACACAGTGTTTGACCGGTGATTGGAAGGCGGTGTTATCCCCACCTGGTCTTGTGCATGAGGTTGTCGGTACGATCTGGGGGTTCAATGAGATGTCATATTATTATTGAATCTATAATATAGTTTATGCACTGCCCACGCAAACATATCGCTGATCATCATCCGTGGCAAGTCGTTGGCACAAAGTATCGAAAAAGGACAACAAAATACACAGCCCTGGGGCCTAGTTATGTTGTTTGTGTTAGGTAAAAGGTAATATATACCTGCAGTGGGATTCCAATGAAAGCAAATCAGCCTACAGCAATGCCGAGACATAATAAGTTAAGTCTGTTTGAGTGCCCTCGATGGACACCTGCAGTGCTAGGAAGGTTCATATAGCCACTATGTGTACGTACTTTTATTCTCGGCGTTCGTAATGGTCATGGATTTAAGTCCGACGGTTAACCATGTTCACATTGATCACATTTTATACATACTTGCATAGATGTACAAGAAGCATATATATATATATATATCTTTCCCTCTCGCATCAAATTTACTGATTGTATTAAAGTAATAACTGGGCGCAAGCGATCAAACAACACATCGAACATTCCTGTAGTGACACATCAAACACTGTTTCAACTGGAAAAGAAACATGAAGGTAGTGATTCCCCTGTCAAAGGGTATTTCCCTTCACCGTCAGACCAAGGCTAGACCAAGGCTACTACGGCCCCACTTGATATGTTCAGATCAGGTTTTTTTTTTGTTGGCAATTTTCTGCCTTCATTACTGATATACTAGAGAAATTGAACAATAGGAGAAACTGGTGGATAGAAAAATTGTTGAAAAAAAAAAAAAAAAAAACAGCGATTATCAATCAGTTTGAAGGAATAAAATGGGGTATAGAAATAAAAAACAAGTGCAAAAAGAAATCTCTCCCTCGGGGAATCGAACCCCGGTCTCCCGCGCTTATCGGTTTTAATGACAAGCGGAAATCATCACCACTAGACCAAGGAAGATGTGATGGTCGAGTTACTGCTCGACCACTTGGCTGGTTGATGACAAAAGCATGAAGCAAGTGATTTATGAGCTTCAGGAATCGGAGGTTGTGAACTCAAACCACCAGCCCCTCCCCTATCATCCAATCACTATGCAGTTTAATGGCCGGTCCGTACAAGCAATATCCCCTCTATGCTATCTTACGACGTTATGGCCAGTCTCCGTACTGGAGATAACCCGGCCCAAATCCCACCATCCCCACCCTTCAATGTTCTCAAACGGAAAGTCCTGGAGAAGTCCGGGTCCAAGAGCCGAAGAACACTCCGATTTCCCCGCATGAAGCAATAAATACTTCAGAGATGGCTGTATTCTTCCTTGCGCGGGCCTGAGAATAAAAAAGAACCCCCGAAAATCATGACATCCGTTTTTAAAAATGGGCGCATCTTCATGCCGTCCCAAGGCTCGAATGATGAGGGGAACTTTGCTGAGAGCATGATCATCGAGAATGACAAGATCTCCCACGTCGGCTCTCTCGATGGAATAACCATCCCAGAAAATGCAACTGTCATTGACCTGGAAGATCGCACTGTCATTCCAGGCTTTATCGATGCCCATGTACACATTCTTCATTACGGACAATCCTTGCGCAAAGCCAACCTCATCGCCTGCACCTCCCTCGATCAAATCCGCGCAGTCATCAAATCTTACGCCGAAGCCAACCCATCTCTCCCGCGCATATTATGCAGAGGCTGGATCCAATTATCTACCAATGGAGTCGCGCTAGCAAGTATGCTGGATGGTATCGACCCACGTCCCATCTTTATTGACTCCTTCGACCTCCACTCCATGTGGTGTAGCGAAGCTGCTCTCGAAGAGATGGGGGCCCATACTGCCCCCGATCTTCCCGGTGGAACCATCCACCGTGATGAAAACGGAAGAGCTTCAGGTCTACTTGACGAATCAGCTATTATGAACCTTGCATGGCCTCATCTAGAAAGCCTGACCTCCACAGAAGACAAACTGAGTGCGTTGGACACTGCAGTTGCTGCATACACCGCTGCCGGGTATACCGGACTAGTGGATATGGCTATGGACGAAGGAACCTGGGAAATTCTGAATCTCTACCGTCGCGATCATACCATCCCGTTCCACATCGGCGCACACTGGCTCGTCCCCTTCTCAGCGGACCAAAACGCCAACTTCAAGTACGTGGATCGAGCAATTGAGTTACATAACCAATATAACGAGCCTGATTTCCACGTCCTCGGAATAAAACTTATCTGTGATGGCGTTGTCGACGGATGTACTGCAGCTCTCCTCCAACCTTATACTGGTAAATCCGACCCCGTCGACCCAATCTGGCCAGAGAATATGCTACAAGAAGTAGTCCAGCGCGCGGACTCAGCAGGCATCCAATGCGCGATTCATGCAATAGGCGACAAAACCATCCGCCAAGCAATCAATGTGCTATCGAGAGTCGGCACACCAGGCCGACGACACAGAATCGAGCACCTGGAACTGACAACCTCGGAAGATGCTAAACGACTCGGTCAGCTAGGTATCACGGCCTCGATCCAGCCTGTGCACTCGGATCCTATGCTTTTCAAGGCCTGGCCTGGTCTTGTGGGCCCCGAGCGGTGTAAGCGCGCATTTGCGTACAAGGACTTCCTGGATGGGGGTGCTCCGATTGCTATTGGAACGGATGCACCTACTGCAGCTCACTTTCCTTTCCCAAATCTTTACAATGCTACTACTAGGCGCTCGGCGCTTCAGACTGAGACTGATGATACTGTAAACGCGCATTTCAGGTTGGGGTTGGCTGAGGCGGCTACTGCTGCCACGGCTGGTGCAGCTTATGCGCGATTTGCTGATTCCTGGACTGGAAGTCTGCAGAGGGGATTATATGCGGATTTTTTGGTTGTTGATATGAAGTGGATGCCAGAGTCATTGCTTGAGGCGCGTGTCTGCCAGACTTGGTATCGGGGGAAGAGGGTTTTTGATTCTTCCAGTGATTGACAGCAATGACTTATGGACTCCGAATTGGGTAGAAGAATACAAGGATATACAATGAAATTATAATTGCTTTTGTACTTCTTATGACGTTGGGTTGTACTTCTACGTTGTATGTGGGGTGGACATCACGGTGACATCACCAGTATACACTTTGCCTCACGAGCAACTGAGGCCAACACAATGTACGATGTACAGGACACAAGTAAAATGCATAGGATAGATTGTCAGATTTTAATTTACAGCTTATCGTTGCTTCATGAAGGCATCACGCCTGGTTCCGACCTGAGTCTCACATCTGAAACTTCCAGTGTAGTCCAGGGTCCAACAAAGTATATGAAGACTAATTACTCTTCAAGTTGTTCCGGGTGCGCTTGAAGCCCACGGTCGGTACTTAGATCGGAGAGGAAGGAATCTGATGCTGGTTAGTACATGGGATATAATACCAAAATTGGTAGGTCGGGCATAATGAAGACATACTGTGATCTACCTCCTGCGAAGAACGGCGCTCTGTGTTCCTATGAACGCCTTCCAAGGCATGTTGGTGTGCAAGCTCAGAGCACATTGCGCGGGAAGATCTGTTTCATTTGAATCGGTTAGTTACTGGATATACTTCAAGGCAAATTTGCGAGGTTGTGGTCTAAACGCACGGGGCAACTTCTCTGTCTACCATGATATTCTCCTGCTTGACATTGGATTGGTCTTGCTGTTGATCCTCCATACTTCCCAGAGAGCTGCGGCGCTTTTCGTAATTGGGATCTAGGGGGTTTTGATCTCTGTCGGTTTTCATGTTTGAAGTGTACTAGATTGTGTAGTGGGGACAAATCAAGGGTTGGATATGTGTGAAGTGTTGAAAAGCAAGTTCGCTTGAAAATGTGTCGGAAACTAAGAGAAAATAAACTATTTATCTTATGTTTAAATGCGGGGAGTCTTCGATGTCATAAGTTGGGCGTGGCGAACTTATGATATAAACACTTCTTGCCAACCTATCAGACTTATTTTACTCCTGGTATCTGAACAATAAATGTTGTCTATTCTAACTATGGAATAAAGAAACAAAAAAGGGAATTAGTTAGTGTGATACTCACACGAAGCTGACTTGGGCGTCACAAAAGGCGAGATAGTTAATCATAGCCAAATGGTTATGAGGTCAAGTGCTCGTCAATGAATGGCACGATGGCAAACTAGTAATATTCTAGTCTTTTCGACTGTGTTTTCGACTGTCTTTGGGATTGTGGAATAAAATGATAAGCCGAGGAGAGATGTGAAATATATAGATGTAGTGATCCTCTTTGGATCATCGTCGATCCACATATTTCCCCTATGTTCTACTCCAGCTTCCAACAAAGACATCATTGCACCATCTCATCCTCATATCCATTCCTATTCTTCTGATTGAGCCTTCTTGAATCTTTTCCCTTTTCTCGTTTAATCTTAGCAGAGGACTTTCCTATTTGTTGACTTGCCACCGAGTCCAGACCATTAGAGGCAACCCCCAAGGCTTCCAAGTCTCGATGGAAAGTAGTAACACTCAGTTTCCAAGAACGAGACATATCAGCACCATCTCTTAGCAAAGAAAGTCTTTGCGCTAATTCTTCCACGAAAGCAACACTCCGGTGGCGGCCCTCCTCACAACACACAGTCACAACTAGTAAGATATTGGGTTTCTGGTGAGTACTGGTTGTCGTGATTTCAGGCTCATTGCCATAGATTTTTGGTTCCTCGGGAGTACTACTTTTTTGGGATAATGCATCACAAGATGTCTTGAGTGAGTTGACGATCTCATTCTGCGCTCTTTCAAGGAAGCCTCCCACGATTTCATTCTTGAGAAACTCCTTCCGAAGTCGAGGTGACAGGCCAGTTGTCATGGCACGTAGATTTCGTGGTGGATTTGGAAGATGGCGAATATTGTAAGACAACAGAATTGAGTTCTGTTCCTGAATTTCTGGTGTTACCAATGGGCCATTGGCATGACCGTATGAGGAGAGTGAGACAGTGATTGATGGGCGTCCCGACGGTTCTAGGCAGTTGCCCACCGGGACAATCATCGTGAGTTGAGCCGAATGAAGATTTTATCTTGTAATCTAGTCCTGTCTCCCAAAGCCGCCTGGTTGATGTTAGTTTGTCCGTTTGTTGAATAATCTAGACACATGCAAACAGGGAAGCAGTTGCCTAAACAAGAAAAAAGACTAGTACCTATTAGGCAATGAAATGCGATCGCGGGAATGCAATCGATCCGCAACGAACGGTGGTTTGGCAGCAGAGCTCAGATCCGAATTCAGAGGTTCGAGATTGATCATTGGAATATTCAATAGATATCGAAATTGGACTCTGAGAGTTTATGACTCACATGCGGCTGAAGCGACCGTCAAGTGCTATTAATAGGTATATGATTTTATAGAAGGATAAGTCAATTTGAATAGTACGTTAGGTGACTGACAGCTATTGAATTGGATATCAAACTCGAACAAAGATCCAGTAGTCATTTGAAGAGTCACCATTTTTACCTAAAACGCTTTGATTGATAGTGATTAAAGTAAATTAAGCCATTCTCTTGGCTTCATAAGGTGAGCCATCAGACCCCACCACATCTTGGCTGCTTGATACAGCCTAGGCACAATATAGAATGGAACGAATAGCTATCCAATATTGAAGCTGTGATATCGCTAAACGCGGAATGAGAAAATTATGACTAGATTTAAAGATCGTTTTCTAGGCCTGATCGACGTAAATCGTCTAGCTCGGGGTAGGGTAAGCCGAACTTGATTCGCCTCGGAATGAATCCCACCGGGTTGACAATGCCAGTGTGGGGTGTAAAAGCAGATCATTTAGCTAATTCCTTCATCTAAGCACATCAACAGAAGAGCCGGTCAAAGCAACGTCAGTGACCAACCACGTTGTGTGAAGTTGAAATCGACCCTGGGGCATATTGTCACTAGTCCTAAAGCGGCTATTGTCTGGAGAACTGGGCCTGTGGTGGGGAGAGGATCAGTCTGTTCGGATCCTAAGTTGAGATGGCACGCACAAAATTTTTCTTTTTCGTAGATCGGAAGGGTTTATATATGGCTAGAATTCTCTGTTTTCTGAATGTTTAAGCTTGAAGAAATCAGATTGCTGTTTTCAACTACGATCTATATCAAACCTTTGAAGCGAAAAATTACATCATACCTTCAAGTTCGGTTCACTCCGGATCACCACGCGGAAGAGAACCACAAAGACAATCAGAATTTGTGAATCAGGACCAGTCTCGAAGAAGTTCGTTGAGTCACGGTGGGATCGGAATGGTGTTCGCACGTGGCGATGTCTCCGGCCATGATGATCAGACAATCGGTAAAACCAGAACAACACTATCAACCGAGATTCAGAATACTAACACCAACATAGATCATCAAGACCCCAGCAAGGATATAACAATTGTGTCCTGGGATGGACCCCGAGATCCCGGAAACCCATACAACTGGTCTCTATGCGAGAAATGGCTCCTCACAGCCCTCGCCGTGTTCGCCACCTTCATGACCATGATCAACGGCACAATCATTACAGTAGCCCACGATCCCATGAATGAGTTCTTTAACATTTCAGACGCCAACTTTCCTCACTCCTACTGGCCCGTTACATCATGGGCCCTTGGAGGCGGCTGTTTCTCCCTGCTGGTCCTCCCGCTCATGGAGGATTTTGGTGTGCGATGGGTCTTCTTGGGCACGTACGTGACTTTCCTCTGTTTTGTCGTGCCCCAGGCTGTGGCACAGAATTTTTACACGTTGGTCATAACGAGATTCTTTGCCGGAGGTTGTGTTTCCATCTTAGCCAATACCTCAGGCACGGTGATTGGGAATGTCTGGGACACAGAGCGAAATCGAAACGTCCCAGTCAGTCTTTTTATCGTTGCATACCTGTCGGGTAGTAGCATTGGACCTGTCATTGGAGCTGCTATCTACCAGGCTCTCACATGGAGGTGGATTGGCTATATCCAGCTCATGTGGTATGGTGCTTTCTTCCCTCTGTACTTCTTCTTGTTCAAGGAATGTCGTGGAATTGCCATTCTAGGACAGCGGGCCAAGGCTCTGCGACGTGAAGGCAAGAATGCCTATACCCAACACGAAATCGACACACAAGGGCAGTCGATTTTGAGCATCGTGGGCCACAGTGCAAGTAGGCCTCTTTTCCTGTTCTTCACCGAGTCCGTGGTGTTTGTATCGACGCTATGGTCCGCCTTTACCGTCGGTACATTGTATCTGTTCACTCAATCTGTTGAGCAGGTATTCGCAGAGCTGTACGACTGGACACCGGCACAAACTGGTTACGTCCAAGCAGCAGTAGTGATTGGAGAGCTTCTAGGTTGGGTGATTACCTTGTTCTCAGGCAAATTTTACTTCGACTCGGCATCCCGCAATAAAGAAATCCCCGGTACCCCTATCCCCGAGGCCCGGCTTTATCTCGCTATTTTGGGGGGCATATTCGGTATCTCCGGTGGTATGTTCACATACGCCTGGACGTCATACCCGGATTTTCCGTGGATCGCACCTGCCATTGGCCTCGCCATGGTAGGGGCCGGTAGCGTCATTGTTGTGACGGGAATCTCGGACTATGTGGTCGACGCTTACAGCAAATACGCGGGAAGTTGTATGGGTATCATTGCCACTGGTGAGAATACACTAGCGGCGTTCCTGCCTCTAGCTACTATGAGCATGTATTCTCATCTTGGCCTTGAGTGGGCTAGTACGGTACTAGGCTTCATTGCGTTGGCTTTATCTTTTACTCCGATATTGGTGCTTATCTGGGGCAAGAATATCCGAGCACGGAGCCCGTTCATGAAGGAAGCCATGGTGGAGAAGAGGAGGAAGAGCATTGACTCTGTTTGACCGGGCTTGCTCTGTAAATAAACTGCGTTAAAACCATATTGCACATATCACGAGAATTCAGAATATGTTTGCTATCTTCACTGGGTATTTTCTCGCGTCTCAGTTCAGTTTTTTCCTGATCGAGGTGAACAAGTAGATCAAGACCATCCAGTGTTCCAGGTAGTTCCCGGAGGCTCCCTGATCCACGTGGAGAAGTAATCACGACCATCCTCCGATGCAGAGAGTTCCCCAAAGAACATATCATGCAACCTTGAAAGCTACACATGTTTCACTTTGTTCTAATATAAGAACCAAATCTAAGACAACATTCTCACCTCATGAACCATATCCATGAGCAAGAACACATGGGGACCGAGTGAATTCAATTAGATTGTAAATTGAATGCCAAGAAGTGAGTGGATCTCAATTGTAAGCAAAATATCAACCCGTGGACATAGTTTGAATCAGGGGGAATTCTCATCGGACTCGAAAAATTCGGACATATTTCAGATTGCGGATTAGATCAGGGATAGGGATATGGCGCTAACCCGAAGTGAACTTCCCCCTTAACCTCCACACCCATGTGTTCTTTCCACGTGTATTGTCCCAAGACCGTTGAGGCAAGGCGATTATTGCCGATTAACGTTGTTTTTTTTTTCTCGAGATTATATCTGTTAGTCACATACTGACCAACTAGAAAAAAGGACGAAGAAAAACAACGCCACAAAACAACACTACCCCATTACAACCAACGATCCAACAACCAGGTTAGGGGTGATAGCCGAATTACTCCATTAGTCCTGCTCCTCTTTCAAGAGCAGGGGGTTAAACGGCCTGAACCGCATCCCCTGTTCCTCGATAAGTCGTCGACCGACACATCTTTCCGCATGCAGTTCCTTGCATGAGAAGAGGAATAATGCCCCCACGTTTCTTGCAACGGCTCAATCGTCGAAATTCTAGATTGTTTCAGGGCCGACGATCAAACGTCTCTGCATGGTGCCCTGTGCGATGGCCTGACTATGTGCATACATGTAGTAGTATACTCCGTACTCCGTGCTCCTGCTGCATTTGCACTAGATGGATACCTCTGCCGAGAATAGTGCCTGCTAGTTTCCCAGGGGGCCAGGAAAACCTGGTCGAATTTGAAACCTCTAGCTAGAGTCTATATTGATGAGGTCTGTACGAGGATTGTGGATTTGGTCATTTTCCGGGTCCGATCTGGTACCGCCGGATCCGCTGGGCTGGGTACTAGGCACACATGTTCACCTTGGTTCTCCTTCCGTATCAGTTTATTTTTGCTTCAATAGTTGGTAGAGGTGGTTCTGGGGCGAACTACTCCGTACTCCGTAGTCAAGATCTAACTAGGGTAAAGGCTCAACCAGGTTGTTTTTTTGAGTTTTTTGGTTCAAAGATGAGACATTCTGACACACAGATATATACGCCGATCTGATACTAATGATCTCCGTGGATGGAGATAACATGATTGTGCAGGATTCGATCTACTTCGTTTTCTGTACACGCACGGAGTGCACGGAGTGAACAGAGTAAATTCTTGTTCGTTAGACATGGCTGTGCAACCACCTTGGAGTTGGACCAAGCTCTTTTACGCTACCGATATCATTGAAATTTCTGCTCAGGAGACGGGCCCTATACGAGTTATAGCCTGCCGAGTCCACACGCTGTGGAGTGTATCCAGTGCCCGGTTTGGAATTTTGCCCTATTTCCCACTCTCTGGGTAGGTTAGGGTACCAGGTGGTGGTCTGGAAGTCTGGAACTTTGCTCATCTTATTTACGACATGGCTGGCTGGAGAAAAGTGGAACGAGTACGAAGTACAGGAGCTTCGTACAGAGTCTAGGTACACAAATACATGTCTATTTGGTGGTTTGCATAGGACATGTAGAAAGTACTCAGGTACAAACGATTGTCAATTGATAGGTAGTAATCCTTCAAGGTACTAACTACCTTGTAAGGGGTACTTGGTACTTTGTCCCCATTAGATGAGTCCCATTGGGCCAAAATCGATCAGTCGGAGGGTACGGAGTACCGAATGGACGATCCCAAAGCCACAGCCGCTTATATAAAAAAATAATGCACTAGAGCTCGGAGAAAATACCAGGGGAAAGTTCGGGAGGTTTCAATATGCATGTAAGCGCCCACTCCGACGCTGAAACAACAGGGCGGGTGCTTCAGGTCGCAGCGCCAGTTTGATGAGTCTTGGCTGTCTCCACCTATTTTCCCGTTGGACTCACACAGTCTTTTAGTCTAGAAGGACCTCTAAATGTGGCAAGTGATATGTTTATCACTTGTTTATGCAGCCTGGTCACCAGGATTGGGCCAATCATCAATTTTGACATGCAATACTATACAAATATACAAATATTGTACAAAAAGAATTCAAGACAGGGGGTTATATTCGCTTTGTTGACAAGAATCCGGATGTCTTGGAGATAGTTTTCATATCAAATGAAGAGTAACTAACTATGATGATTGTGTTAACCTGATATCCTTTTATGTATCATCAACAAAGAAGATCCCCTTCCAGGGCTGAAGTATGTCATTCAACAGTGAAGTTGATTTACTGTCCCACTTTGTAAATGACCAAGTCAATACCATTCAATACCATGTAACTAACCAACCACACCCAATTAATAACGTAAATAACAACCCCCTCCGTTATGACTAAGTATAACCCAAAATAACATACTAGTTTCTGACCGGTCAGATGGTCCCTGGGCGCTTCCCCCATTCCCAGCTTCGATTATTATTAGACTTGGACTGTATCTTCTTTCTTCCCCCCTTCTCTTCTTCTTCATCATTACTCGAGCTTCCTCATTCACTTTCGTTTCTTTCTTCCCGCTGCGCGCGAAAATTCCAGAGATTTACCGGCCGGTCCAGTTTTCATTCTCTGACAATCTCTCTTTCTTGCTCTTTGTCTACGAGGCTGGTTCCTCTGTTTACTTAGACACCTTTCCGCGCATTTGTGTGATCTCAAACTTCTCCCGATCGGATATTATCATTACTGGTTGGCGACGTTGATCCTCGCACTTCCGATATCCTGTTCAACCATTCAGGTGAGTTTGATCCGAGGTCTTGCAGCTATGTCTCAGAGTCGCAGAAGTCACAGAGAGGGTTCTTTTGATTGGACTCAAATGGGACTCAGATCGCCCTCTTTGTTTGCGCATGCGTTATCAGGCGGACTTTTCCCTAGTGCTAACTATCTATACAGTGTGCTTGACACAGAAAAATAAACAAAATGTATCCTCAACCAGGTGCCCCAATCCCTATGGCACCACCCCAAAAACCTGAAACTTTTATGCTCTCGACCGAAGCACAGCGAAGCCTACCTCACGATGCGCAAGTTGCTCTTCAGCAAGTGGATAACCGTACGTCTTTGGGTGGCTTTTATCCTCCGCATCAAAACAATGTATTGACATGGGGCCAGTGAAATATTTCCTTCTGTCAGCTCCCGTGGATTGGCAACCAGATCAACTTATTCGACGCTTTTTACTTCCCACGGGCGACTATGTCTCTTGTGTTTACTGGTTCGTCTCACTCTAGAACATGATGGCCCAGGAATCTGACTGACCCTGGCTTAATAGGAGCGGCCTTTTCCACATCTCCGGTACCGATATTGTCCGATGCCTCGCATTTCGATTCCAAGCCTTTGGACGTCCGGTGAAGAACTCGAAAAAGTTTGAGGAGGGCATTTTCTCAGATCTACGAAATCTCAAGGCCGGCGTAGACGCGGTCCTGGAGGATCCCAAGAGCCCGTTCCTGGACTTCTTGTACAAAAACAACTGTATTCGGACCCAAAAGAAGCAAAAGGTGTTTTACTGGTACGGCGTGCCCCACGACCGGCTATTCCTCGATGCACTGGAACGAGACTTGAAGCGCGAGAAAATGAACCAGGAGGCCACCACGGTCGCAGTCAGCGAACCGGCCATGTCTTTTGAATTCGACTCGTCCCAGTCTCTGTACGAGCAATTGACCAAGTCACAACAAGTGAATCTGAACTCGTTCGCTGCCCACGCAAGTACGACATATGGCCAACCCAACTCCCCCGTGGTTCGGACCGTTGACGCAATGCCTCCTCCGCAGATGGCTCCCCCAGCGATCCCTCTGATGCAGGAAGACCCTGGGAATCAGATGTACAGCCACCCACAGATGCCCCTTTCGAACAATCTAGTCCAGAGCATCATTAAGCGCGAGCAGGACTACGGCCCTATCCAGTACGATCGTCACGGAATGCCCATTTCCCGCCCCCATCAGCGCCATTCTTCCATGCCGACCTTCTACGAGTACTCTCCTGCGCCATCCTTTGTATCCTCGCAATACGAGGATTACAGCAATCGCGGCCTGTCCTTCGAACCAGTCACCCCGCCACAGCATTCGGTCGGACTCGGAGGGGAACCCGCTTACATCGCCAACGAAGACACCGGACTCTACACAGCGATTCCGGATATTTCAAGCGGACCCGCCTACCACCCTATGATGCAGCTGCCTCCTTCAAATCTGGCTAGTTCTCACTATCAGCCTGCGCCTCGGTCCTATTCGGCAAATCCATACCCCGTCATAGAGGGATCTCCAACATACAAGCAGCGCAGACGTAGGTCATCTATCCCGCCAAATACCGGTGTTGTCGCACCCAGTGGCGCAGCTCACGTCCAATCAACAACCCCAGGAGTTCAGTCAGTCTCGTACGCTGCTCACCGACCAAGTGATCTGCGGCGTTCGGTTTCTAGCTCAGTCGCCCCAGTTGCAGAGGGGGATGAAGCTACACAGGAACTCGCTCGCACTTATCCAAGTGCAATGCTGCCACAAAAGGATCTTGTTCATGAAATGTCTCGTCATAGCACGCCACTGCAGAACATGGATCAGACCAACGCGCAACATCCAGGATCAATGGCAAACCAATCCAATGATCTGACATCTCTGCCAAGCAGCAGTGCCATCGAGACTGCGGTTCAAAACACTGCTGGTCGGTCCGAGCGTTCGGCGCTTGGTCCTACTCGGAGAGCCAGGAGTGCAACCATGATGGAGTTGGGACCCTATCCAACCAAGGCTCATTCTTGCCCCATCCCGTCATGTGGTAGAACCTTCAAGAGATTAGAGCACCTCAAAAGGTAAGCTTACTTCTATTTTTGCGCCCACGATGGTGGGGCTGATCTGCACCGTGCGCCGGTGAGATTGTTTCGATAGCCGCCGACTAACCCCTCTCTCTAGACATGTGAGAACACACACACAGGAGCGTCCGTATCCCTGCCCTTATTGCAGCAAAGCTTTCTCAAGGTCCGATAATCTTGCGCAGTAAGTTATTATTATTCTATTTCTTATACGACTTGCGCTAACATACGCTAGGCATCGTCGGATCCATGAAGCGCAGCAGGATGGTCAGACAATTGTTCCAACTGACGAAGATCTGGAGAATGACGCACATGAATTCGGTTCCCCTAGGGAAGAGATGTCCCCACCGGAGCCCGCTCATACAATGATTACCATGCCCAACATGACGTCGATGGCAGCTCCTTTGAGCATGCCGTCCGCCTTGACCGGCATGCCTACTTCACACATGATCGCTCCGCAACTTCTCCAACAGCATATGTGAGAATACTAGAGGGCACGGTGCGTCTATTGCAAAGCATCGGATGTATCACTTGATCTCCTCATTACTGGGGATGTTCCGAGCGAATGTTTCAATTCTCCTCTTTCTTCGGGGCGCATACAGGCGCCCTTTTTTTGGTTTGGGGTTTATACCGCCTCTTGTTTAATCGCACATGGTCCAGTGATGGCCTTGCACATATCATGGTATTCGTGTATAGCTCGCGTGTTATGTCCTTGCCTGTCTTTGAAGCAGTGTTCTTTTTTTGGGTTCTTTTTGGGTTCTTTTGGGTTTGCGGACTGTGCGATGGTTACAAGAAACACCGTGTATTATTGGTGTCAGTTGCCCTGCACATGAATTGGGTTGCGCTGGCAGACATTCATTTCATGCTGCCTGGCGGGCACGGGCATGAGAGAGGTTCGACTATCTCTCAATGGGAAATGGGTTGGGAAGTTAAAGATTCGGGTTGGCTTCTTGGATTGTCAGGCATTGTCCATGAAGACCGGCTGGGAATAGTAAGGTTTGTACGCCACAAATTACAATATATAGACAGACATTGTGTAACGACTTTGAATTGCAATCGAAAAAACACTTGAAAACTTTATAAATATCAATGTCTCTTTGATTGTATCTACAATATTGTTGTAGTATCGTATACGGTCCGATGATGTGATTGAGGGCCGTGATGACCTATAAATGGTATATCACGTGTTGCTGACGTCGATCACCCCTGCAGTCATGACAGGGATACCAAGAGATCCATCTGACACACCCTTTGATTTAAAGGGCTATACCCTGTCGAGTTTTACTTTCTTCAGCTAACTATTCGGATGGTAAACGATGCGTGGCCGTCAACACCCAGCATAGCCCCATCTTTCTGACGCTATCTACTTCCCCGCACTCCAACAATCCACAGTCTACTCTGCACGCGACCAATACAAAGGTTGTAAAGTTAATTAAGAAAAATCCAATTCCCAGCAACCACTATCGAAAAAGCGTATCTCCGCTCAGCGGAACCCTGCAACCCTGCACCGCAGTCAGCAACTGGAAATTACAGCAAGCCCAACCATACCCGAACACGCATCAGCGAGTTCCATGAGTTAATCTTAGCCGGTGCTAATTCAAATTATCGAAATTTCGAACTCTTGAACTCTCATATGGGAGACTCGGATTACAAGTCTGCCCCTAGCTCTATCAGCGAGGGCTCGCCTCTCATGGTTGCCTCTCCTCCTTCAGATAGACGTGGTGGGCACCCTCTTGCCGGTGCTGATGAGTCGTCTAAGAATGCATTGTACATGTTTCTTTTGACTCTTTCTATTGGTGGGTAAGTCTTTGCATATGGTAATTTAATTCCATTTATTTACACACGTCATTTTGACTTGTTCTACTGGCCATTTGTTAACATGGTGTTGCTTGAACAGACTTCAGATTGTTTGGTCTGTCGAACTTTCTAATGGATCGGTAAGTATAACTCGCGACTTGCAGTGAATGATCATTTTCCTTCGCATCCTACTTTTCTCGTCTCGATGCTGCAAGATTGAACAAAACAACATACTGACCTGCGTACAGCCATTCCTTCTATCCCTCGGGATGAGCAAGTCGCTTCTTGCATTTGTTTGGATAGCCGGTCCCTTGACGGGTGCGCTGGTGCAACCATACATTGGAATTCGAAGCGATAACTGTCGGCTCTCGTGGGGTAAGAGGAAACCGTTCATGGTTGTTGGAGGCGCAGCAACTGTCGTTTCATTGCTAGCTCTGGCATGGGTGAAAGAGATTGTAGGGGGGCTTTCTGTCTATATTCGGTGTTGAATCAACATCTGCTGGAGCCAAGATTGTTATCATTATCATGGCAACAATTTTCATGTATTGCCTTGATTTCGCCATTAACACAGGTGGGTGCACACTCCAGCATCTCTACGTTCAGTGCTCGGCTAATTACCATCTTATAGTGCAAGCTGCAATCAGAGCGTTCATTGTCGACAACTGTCCCACTCACCAGCAGGAGCTGTCTAATGCCTGGGCCAGTCGTATGGTCGGCATTGGCAACATCTTGGGGTATATCTTTGGCTACATGGACTTGCCGAAGTTTGTCCCTTTCTTGGGAAATACCCAGTTCAAGGTTCTTTGTGTACTCGCTTCCGTCTTTTTGGGCGCAACCCTTGCCATTAGTTGCTTCTACATCAAAGAGCGGGATCCCCGAGGAGAGGGACCTGTGACCGACAAGCTTGGCGTGATCTCCTTTTTCAAACAGGTCATCAAGTCGATTCGGAGCTTGCCGACACAGATCTCCCGCGTCTGTCAGGTGCAGTTCGCAGCGTGGGTGGGCTGGTTTCCATTCCTGTACTACTCCACAACCTATATCGGGCAGCTGTACGTCAATCCCGTTTTCGCGGATAATCCCCATCTCTCCGAGGGTGAGATCGACAAGGCATGGGAAGATGCTACTCGCATCGGGACACTGGCTCTTCTCATTTATGCTATCATCTCCTTCCTTGCCAATATGTTGCTTCCTCTTTTCGTGGTCCCGTTATATGGACCGGCGCCAGAAACTGTTTCGCAACGGGATTCTCTAGACGGCGATTCAGATGACGAGGCAGAACAATCTATAAGGAGACTCTCATTTTCAGGTATGCCGACGGGCAACGCATCCGAACCTCTGCTCGACGCTGTTCCGCTTGGACAGGAGACCGAAGGGAAACCGACCTGGCTTTCACGTCTTCGCATCCCAGGCTTGACTCTTCCGCGAGTCTGGCTCCTCTCCCATCTTCTCTTTGCGGCGTGCATGTTTAGTACATTCTTCATCTACTCTTACCAAGCCGGGTCGGTATTTGTGGGCTTTATCGGCATCTCCTGGGCTGTAGCGCTGTGGGCACCCTTCGCTCTTATCGCGGCGGAGGTAGCTAGGATTGACCCTTCTAGACGAAATCATCCTCGCACAGCTCCGTCCACCTATGGCGAACATGAAGGTGAGGCCCAATACGAGGGTCCTGGTGAATATAACAGCGTTGGCGGCAGTGACGTTGAGCATGGACACCCGAAGGACCATCGCGATGGTGATGTTGCACAGGCGGGTATCATTCTTGGACTGCATAATATGGCTATTTCTCTACCCCAGATTCTGTCTAGTCTTGTCTGCAGTGCTATCTTCAAGGCATCCCAGAAGCAAAGAGGGGAGCCGTGGGATGATAGTGTGGGCTGGGTGCTACGGTTTGGCGGATGTGCTGCGTTGGTGGCTGCGTGGTTGACTACACGGGTTTCGGATGGATCAAGATAGACTTTCACGCATAGGCTGCAATGGATTCATTAGATTTTCTTATATCTTTTATATATATGTATGTTGCATGTATTCGATCTAAGGCAAAAAGTACCTCCCAGCCTTGTCTATAGCATGCAACATAAAGGGATTCTGCAGGGGATAGTGATTGTCGTACGAAGTATGTGGGTCTTTTTACGCAGGCCTAGAGTATCATAGGGCAATCAAACCATGTTATTAAATAATGATGATGTGTTCTCGCACGGAATAATCGACAAGCCTTTGTGCCTGGCTATTTTGCCCGAATCCACCGGTTTCTTGGCAGTTGCGCGGCACGTCGAAACTTGGCCCACGTGTAATTTCAAATACCAATACACAGCATATCTTACGCTATCGTTGTATCTTTCCAATTTTCCCACCAATTTGACTCCAACCAGCCCTGCCGTATTCTGTATTGTACAACTCCGTACCTGACCTCATATCTGTCCCTCTGATGCAACTTAGGCAGTCCGTGTTATTACTTGCTAACCCGATTCGACATTGTCGCAACCTCTCGCTTTCCATCTCTGCGTGGACTATGTGCGCCTGGTCCTGCCATTTTAATTTCACTGTGGGAGTGAACTGCCAGTCCGTCCTGGCCCTTGATACCTCCAACGGCGTGAGCCGCCATGGCTAGCCAATTTATGAACGATGGCCTACACGCCCTGCTTCGTATGTCCCTCCGATCGGTGGTCTTGGGCGCTGCTCTTTAATTTCCCGTTTAGATTGCGAGCTAACATCTATCTTTGTTATAGGGAGGGCCTCTGAAGACTCCGATCCCGATGGTACGCGTGCCTGAACTCACCCCCTCATCCCTCCCGTCTTGTCGCGATATAGCGCTGTTCAGCTTCGGAGATCTAACTGGTATGGCGAAATATAGATGCCACCGAGGCGGGGTCCAAGGAGATCACAACATCCTGGGCATTATTTATCATGATCATGTTGTTGATGTTCGCCCTCTTCACGAGCTACATCCTCCAACAGAGGAAGATCCAAGCTGTCCATGAGACGGTTCTATCGATTTTTGCAGGTAGGCAACATCCTCAAGCGGCGCAGACATAATAACGAGACATACAAAGCTTCGTGCGGTCTGCGCAGGTTGGTACGGACTTGCTAACGGTTGCCAGGGATGTTCGTTGGACTACTCATCCGTTTCACAGACTCCACCCTTCAAGACAGCGTCGCCTTTGACTACCAATTCTTCTTTAACCTCCTTCTTCCTCCGATTATTCTCGCCTCTGGTTATGAACTCCACCAGGCGAACTTCTTCCGACATATCGGCACGATTCTCACCTTCGCGTTCGCCGGTACCTTTATATCCGCAATAGTGCTCGGTCTAGTGCTGTACCTATGGACGCGGATCCCGCTGAGTGGGCTGAATATCTCTTTCGTCGAAGCTATCTCGGTCGGCGCAACTCTCTCCGCTACGGATCCCGTCACCATCTTAGCTATCTTCAACCTTTATAAGGTCGAGCCGAAGCTTTATACTATCATTTTTGGCGAGTCGATCCTAAACGATGCTATTGCCATTGTGCTCTTCGAGACGGCGCAGAGGTATCATGAGACCGGTGCAGCTGGCTCTTTGACCTTCCTGAATCTATTCGAGGCGGTGGGGCTCTTTTTGCTCGTCTTCTTTGGTAGCATGGTTGTTGGAATGCTGGTTGGAATCGCTACCGCGCTGGGTCTCAAATACACCCTCGTGCGGCGCTTGCCCAAGATAGAGAGCTGCTTGATTATTTTGGTTGCATACGCCAGCTACTTCTTCTCCAATGGAGTGCACCTATCCGGCATTGTCTCGCTCTTGTTTTGTGGTATCACCCTCAAGCACTATGCTTACTATAACATGTCGCGTCGCACACAGTTGACCACCAAATACCTGTTCCAGGTCATGGCTCAACTCTCAGAGAACTTCATCTTTATTTACCTCGGCCTTGACCTCTTCGTGGAGCCTAACCTACAGTTTAACCCTTTGTTCATCATGGTGGCAGTGTTTGGTATCTGTCTCTCCCGTTACCTCGCGGTGTTCCCGCTCTCCAAGGCTATCAATTGGTTCATCCGGTACCGAGCACGTCGCCGTGGCGTGGATGTTCCCGACGAGCTGCCGTTCGCCTATCAAGCGATGCTCTTCTGGGCTGGATTGCGTGGTGCCGTCGGTGTTGCACTAGCAGCTGGCCTATCAGGAGTCAACGCTCCCGCACTTCGGGCGACGGTACTTGTTGTCGTCGTGCTAACTGTCATCATTTTCGGTGGAACCACAGCTCGCATGTTGGAGATTCTGGGCATTAGAACGGGTGTAGTCGAAGAGCTTGAGTCGGACGATGAATTCGACACTGAGGTGACCCATGGTGGCACCTACTACAAGCGCGCCGGCACGAGCCTGGGATACACCCCGCGACGCACTGACTCAGTGATCCCCTTGGATGGCGTCACCACCCCACGCGCTGACGCTGGGGAGCGAACACACAGCTACTCCAGCGGCAACAGTCGCCGTCCAAGCCCACCCTATACCCACACAAGAATGTACTCCGCCGCGTACAGTAACAAAGATCAATCCTGGCGCGACCGCCAATCCGCAGCGACGTTGCTCAACGGCGCAGCTGGGCCAAGTGCCGGTGAAGGTAGTGATGACGAGTTTGGTCTGCCATCCTCGGGCCCCGGTCGCTCCAACGATCCTACCCACCCAGATGAGTTCGATCTTGATATTGAGGGCATCTCCGATGACGACCTCCCACCGGCTGCAAGTGGAGCCTCGCGTCTCCGCCGATCCGCCTCCCAACCCCCTCACCCTTCATCCGCCCCACCCACAAATGCAGCGGCATCGACCAGCGTCTCGCCCACTCGCCAGACGGCAGGTATGTCTGCAAGGGATGCGGTGCGGGGTCTGTTTTCGGGTGGTGCTACTGGCGACCATGCGGCTTGGTTCCGCCAGCTCGATGAGGACTATATCAAGCCCACACTTTTGTTGGACCAGTCGAATCATAAGGGACCTGGGCCTGGTGCGGTTTGAGATGATGATACCTTGGAAATGACTTCCATTTTTTTTTTTTTTTCTTTTTGATCTGGGTGTATATTTAGCCTTTGTTGTTTGGGTCTGCATTCTCATTGATGTTTTGCTTTTCTGCATTTGTGGCTTCCATACAAGACCTGTCTGTATGAGCCTGTGTAAAACGCGTTTGAAACCCTATAGAAGCCAACAAGACATCTTCAAGTGGGAAGTACACGTCCCCTGTAAAAGTAGCCAAAGCAATATCAAATTGAGTTTCTCCGCACTTTAGCGTTATCCGTTACCCCACACTTTTCGGGATATATCACCTCGTTTAAAGCAAAGACAGTCAAAATACTCGAACCGAGATAGTCTTAAGAGGTCTAGGACAAAAGAACAATGTCCTTGCCTCCGTCCATGGCGATTTAATAAACGTAACGCCCCACGATAAGCAAGAGCTTCGCCCTGCACCCGTGCGTTCCTATCTCTTCCTGCCTTATCGCCCACTCGGATCAGCAACGGCTATCTGTGCAGAGTATAATTATGTACGGCGCCATGCTTGTTTTGGGTATACTTACGCCAATGCCTATCTTCTCAGTCATCTGATCGTCGAGGCATTAACTTCCGGGCTAATGGTTATGCACTGATGTAGACAGGGTTAGTGGGGCTTTCCTGCTTGATATCCCGCCGCTTTTATAAGGATGTTTCGCAGTGGTAGAGGTCAGCATGGGCTTAGACTTGGTGATATTCTGCTATACGGAGTATTTACCGAGGTACGAGTAAATTGTGGGAATTGAGGTCTCGAATTCAGGTCTCTTGAAGCGCATATACACCTTTCCGTTTTAGTGCTCACACCTAGCCGCCTTTTGATCACTGAGTAAAAAAAGTAAGCACCCGTGGATGCTGGGGAATTGCTACAGACACGGCACGTTTTGCTAGTAGCACGGCACATTAGGTAATATTCCCTTTACATAATCAATTTTGACCGAGATCGTTACCATACATTACCACAGCAACTACATTACTTACTACTGTAGCAACTACATTCTATCTACTTCTGCTATAAGAACCACTCTATCTTCTCATTGATCTTACTTCATCCAATTGATCTTACTTCATCCAATTGATCTTACTTCATCCAATTGATACTTGATTTCACCTAATCATGGAGCCACCAATTGAGCAAGTCTTTGAGACTAGAGAGCAACTCCTTACTTCGATACGACAGCATGCCCTATCTCATGGTTATGCTATCACTATCATCAACTCCGCTAAGGAGAGGAATATTTGTCTTGGTTGTGATAGAGGCGGTATATACCATGATCATATTGATGCCCCAGAAGGGGCAAAACGCCGGAAGACAAGTACTAGACGGATGAACTGCCCATTCCGCCTTTATGCAAAGAAGCTTGTTGATACTAATCAATGGGAAATCCAGGTAAGAAATCCTAATCATAATCATGCAGCTACTAATAATATGATAGGGCATCCTATGGCAAGGCGTCCACAGCTTACTAAAGATCAAAATCAAACTATTGAACATCTATCAGATATTGGATCTCGACCGCAGCATATTATAAGTCTATTAAGAAAGGATCAACCTGATATCTTAATAAGACCAAAAGATATTTATAATATAAGAGGTAGTATAAGACAGAAAAAGCTTAGGAATCACTTACCTCTTGAACTTCTTCAACAGATATTAATTCAGAATCAATGGAAATATGCATTTAAACAAGATATAGAAGGTCATGTTCAATTTTTTATGTTCGCTCACCCTGAATCAATTAAGTATGCTAATCAATATAATAGGGTCTTTTTATTAGACTGTACTTACAAGACGAATCGGTATAAGATGCCTCTTTTACATATTATTAGTCTCTCGCCATCGAATTCATCCTATAGTATTGCTTTCTGCTTTATGCAAAATGAGCAGGAAGAAAGCTATAAGTGGACTTTACAGACTTTTTTTTCATGGCTTGACCCCTTACCCTTTTCT